CAAATGTTCATTGATTTTGTCGACTATATATAAATCTATATAATTACCCGACTTAACCATAATAAGTGCATAGCGATAGATTTGCTGAGTTAAATAAATAATATAATTAATTTAATGTCTATACTAATAAAATTGTAACATTTTATAATACGTTTACTGAATTTGTTAGTGTTTTATAATTTTATTTCGTGTGCGTTAATTGATTTGAATTTTATTTTTGTTTTTTATTAAATAAATTTCTTTTTATTTGATGAGCAAAAATATTTGTTTTCACAATTTTTATTATCACATCCATGTGTTATATAGTTGTTTGACATTAGAAACACGTTTAATAATGTATAAGTGTTTCTAAATTTGGTTCATATAAATCTGAACAGTATATGAATAACACTATTGACATTTAAACGGGTATTAAATTTTAATAATAATATTATCCCATAAAGAAATTGAATGAATATTTCATAGACTTTCATACCATTCAAAAAAACATAATAAATCTTTTAAAGAATTTAGTTATGCTTTGAATATAAAGATAATTTAATAAAATATTTATTGTGAAAAATATTAATATTTCGTATAAAATTTATTATATATTTTTTAGTTAATTCATAAAATATGGAAAAAATTTAATGAATGCGTGAATAATAAAAATGAAAATAAATATTTTTGTTCATTTGAAAATGTGAGCGGAAAAAAGACATTAAAAGTGAATAATAGATATGTTTACAAGTCTTTCGCAAAATTTTCATTCATTCTTCTCAACCCATCCTCTTATCCGTCGTTTGGTTTTTATTTAGAAATTTAAAATTATTTAAAAGACTTATACAATGGGCTCTCAATCACCAGAGAATACATCTCTCTTCTGGTTGTCTAAACATTTTAGATCCCGGTTTGCAGTGAAAGGCGTCCGAAAATTTATCGAAGTTGGCTAACGAACCGTCGACTCGCACCGACTCCGGCGGATGGGCGCCCGATGACAGGGTCTTCTTCACAGCGTTTGGCAAATTGTTTGAACACCACATCTATTGTCAGTCACAGAAACATAACACAAACAAAACACAGAATTCACATGTCATTAGATTAGTATTTCATTCATGTATGTATTATTAGCTATGAATTTATTATTTTTCCACTTATTTTTGTGCAATAAACGTGTTTACACTTCATTTACATTAAGATTGTTTTTGTCAATGATTTCTATTAATTTCTATTTTCAGGAAAACTGATATTTTAGACTATTTATTGTATGTCTATTGCAATATTTCCCACTAGCTTCCAGCTATACTTCCACTATGTAGGTCTATATAAATAAAGATCAGCAAGTTGCTTTATTTCACTTTTTCTTATACCTTATTATCATGAAAAAGGACTTAAATTTACAAAAATCCCATTTTGTTTGATTTATATAATAAACACGTTAAACAAATATCAAAATATAAACGCCTTGTTATTAAGCGTTTATATTTTCATTTTTACATAAATTTTCAATTTAATGATGAATATATTTTTTGTTTGTTTTTTCCTATCACTCAAACTAACACTTTATAAGTATACCTCATTTGAATAACAAAACTTTTTAAAACTTACAAAAATAAGTCTGTATTATTGCAATTACGGTGCTTTCACATATTACGTTCGAACTTGGGGGAGAGGGGGTGTCAGACATTGCGAACTTTTTGCAAACGAGAATAAATATATGACTTTTGAATAGAAATTTTATTTTCAGTTTTATATAGGAGTGGGGGGACGGGAGTTAGGGACATGCGAACGTACTTTTAAAAAATGGTTGAATGCGAACAATTGCTAACAGAAGGGGGAGGGGGTCTACATTTCTAAAAAATTACGAATGTAATATGTGAACATTCCCTTACTAATAATATTACTGATATAATATAAATGCAAATGATTAAAAAATAATAATCCGAGTTTGATAATAATTATTATGTTTGACCTTGTTCACGTCTAATATTCTATACATTATGAACACAAATAATTAATTCAAATAAAGGCTTACGTTAGCAAATGATATGAAAAACAATTGCTCTTCGTCAAATTGATCCATTTTTCCGGGCAATCTCTCAAACTGTGCCGACCTTTGCTTTTGATACGCTTTTAGTGCCTATTTATCAAACATTTAATTAATAACAAAATATTATAAATCAAATGATAAATATAAAGATAAATGTTACAAAACAAATGCTCACCCGATATGCTTCACGTATACCCCCATTGTCTGCAATATTTTCACCCAATGTTAGGCTCCCATTGACCTGAATATACAGAATTGTATAAAAATGTTTGCATTTAATACAGAATTGAAATATATGTCAGAATATTGCCAATTCCGGTACTAATATATCAATTGATAGGCGTATATAAAGTATCACAAATGGGAATATTAAATGATAAACGAGTTAATCGATAATATTTACCGTCATATTCTGTTCGGGAAAGCGATAGGAATTATACTGATTGACAAAACATTGACTTTTATCAGTAAAAGTCTTGCGAGCGCTCTCTGACCACCAGTTTCTTAGATCTCCCTTAAAGTCATAGAGACTTCCTATGAATCAGATTTTAAGTTATTTTGGTATTAATAATAATCATTATTGATATTTATTTAATAGACTAACCCTGGATATCGAGTGCGTGTGTCATCTCGTGAGCCATTATCATCCCAATGGATCCCAAATTCATAGCCCTGTTATGCAATTAAAATTATATTATCATATAAAAAATGTACATTTTAATACAATTGGGAAAATTAGTGCATTGTCTATAAAATACAATGGATTTTACAACTCAAATATTTATATTAATAAATGTTTGAATATTTGCGAAATACTTTAAATAGAGAATTGCATGATGGATAAATAAGCATAAAGACTTACCATGGTCGATCCATCATATAGAATGGGTATTGCGCTATTCCGGCCGGAAAATCTGTAAATAATAGCAATGCATTTAAATCACTTAATCACAAACATTATGCATAATTAGATTTACAAATGAGACTTAGAAATGCAATTAAATTAATAATTAATTAAAACAAATATACTATAGTATTATTTAAATTAAATATATAATAAGAAATTATTCTCAAATTATTATTTTTTAATTATTTCCGAAGTATTTTAAGTAAAAATTAAGTCTTTATTTATAATTAGAGTAAAAAAAAGATCAAAAAGTAAAAGCATTGCTACCATTGAATGCATAAAATTTATTTTGCTTAATATAAAAGCATTTAAATAAAACATTAAATCATATATTAATACTAAAATAATGTGATAATGTGTGGGCTCTTTGTGTATACATATTGCTGTAGATTAATATCAAATGCTTTGATTCTTAGCCTTTTATATGTTATATATAACAATAATTCTGAAAAACTTTCACTCTTTTCTATAAATATAATATAACACAGAATTGGATATAAATTATGAATTTATGTTATGATAAGTGTTGACAAAACCTTCGTTAATAATTTACACATTTATATTGAGCTCAATTATTAATGTTGTCGTAAGTAATGATGTTATTCTACACGTAATATTTATTTTAATGTTACATTACATGTAATATTACGTAAAATTGGTAAAATTCAATTTTAAATATATATTTGTATATGTTAATTATCTAATAATTAACTTCAATCACGTAAAATATAAATAATATCTTCAAAATCAATATATGAGAAGTACAGTAAATTAGCAAGATTATAAAGTACTATACTACAGATATTATCTCAATTCAAGCGCTTGTTTGCGAATTAATACGTAATAGGCTTTTGTAAGTTACATTAGGCCTTTATTTTTAAAAATCGCCCTCGTTGTTAGTCAACTCCCAAATTCATTACTCGCTTTATTTAACATTGACGTTTCCTTTGATTTTATTTAATGAACTTATTTTATTTATTTTTTGTTTGTTAATCAAAAATATTCGCTTTTCAAATAAAATAAATTATATTTAAAATGAATGAATTATTAGCATTAAGTTTAATTATTAACACTAGTATAGTTTTACAAATTGCTAATTAAAATAATTTATTATTAAATAAAATAAAACAATTATTATTAAGTAAGTTATTGCTAAATGTCATCATAATAGTAAATGGTAAATTTTACTGTAAAAGCGTCTAACCAATAGACTATAAGAATAAACAAAAAATTCAATCTATTTTATTATCCAATAGTGATCTAGATAACTACAAACATATAATGTTATGTAATGTTAGTGAAAGCATTAAACATACACTTCTTTAGTGATAAATTCATTGATAATTTACACCATTTATATTTAGATATTATGCAATAGCAAAAACTACTTGGTATTTGTAATACGAAGTACAATAGTTTGTATTATTATACAGTAATAGAAATGTTTACTATTACTTTAATCAACTTATAAAGTAAAACATCGAGTGTTTCCGAGAGAAAAAAATCAAAGCAACAAAATTCAATGCAAATTTGATTTAATTCTTTTGCCTTCAAATGCA